TGTGTGTGTGTGTGTGTGTGTGTGTGTGTGTGTGTGTGTGTGTGTGTGTTCTGAATATAGAGAAAGGCATTTTTATTTAGTTAAAAAGTGCTTCTGTTTTTTGTTTTAGTTCTGGTAAGTTGTTATAAAATATATGAATATTTTATAACAACTTACCAGAACTAAAGCAAAAAACAGAAGCACCTTTTAACTAAATAAAGATGCCATTCTCTATATTCAGAAGCAATGTGTTTGAGGACAACATGGTTAACAAAATTTCTGGTTTTAGAACAATGCATTCAGTAGGTTTTCTGGGATGTTCTTAGTAGTAATGGTTATTTCTCATATAAGATATAAAATCAAAAATATTGAATAGTGCCTGATTAATGTAATAACCATGTTCACAATGAGGGATGGAATAATAATAGAGTAAAAAATTATTCATTTAATCTCTAAAGGTGCAGCCTACTGTCATTATAATTTAAAAATTACCATCAACATCAAATGAAACTCCTCTAGGAAAAAAAGGATAATTTTTTAAAGTATGAAAGTACATTTATTAGTAGAATTTTAGGTAAAATGAAAATATTAAAAATAATCTGTTTCATTACTCCTATTTGTGAGATCTCCATGGGAAAAATCTTCCTTTTCTCCATTATAAATACATTAATTTAGTTAAACTTGAGCTTTTCAAATAAGAGTTAACTATAAAAGTAATTACATTTTACATATTTAGCATTATAAAGCACTATGAATTATTGGATTGGATTTGAAGGAGATGCTGTGAGACAGAAGAAAATGGAGAATGCTGATCTAAAGGGTGGCTGACAATGACGATGATTTTATATTATTGGATTTAAAATGGCAAGTCCCCACTTTAACAAGACCCAACAGCCTAATGCAAAGATCTGTCAAGTTATTGAAATGTGGTTTAGGACCCTATAAACTATCCTATGATACAAAATACATGAGTTTGCATGTATTTAAAATGACTTTCACAACATGTATAAAAAGTTATTTTAAAGTGATGTTAGTTTTAAACTGGGAGGTGACCTATAAAGATTATTTGGTGATTTTAGAATAGTTTATATGCTTTCAGTCCAACTTATCTTGATGAGGGAAGCTGCTTTGAATTCTCAGAGAAAAGATAACATATATATGAAACATTACTTAAGTAATAGTACCTATGATAATAATTGAATATTTTAAAGAACATACACCATGTAAAAGTGTTTCCAAGATAACTGACCTGAGGATCTGAGAACACTTGCTTCATGCTGTTGATTGGACCGTATGGAACTCCACTGCCCTCAAAATGGTCTAGCCATTTGGAGGTTTCTTCTTCCAAGAACCTAAGAATAAACAGGAAAAAAGTGTAAAAATGCATTTTAAACAATAGTGATTAGTAGCAGTCAATAATGTAATAAAAATGTTCTGCACATGTTCCTCAGAAATGGAGAAAACCAAGCCTGGAAGCAAAAATCATGGTTTAAACTGACTTCCAATTCTATCTGATTTTCTGATGCCAGCAGCGATACAAACCAAAATTATCAGAAGTTTCAAATAGAAGTCAGCATATTTCCTCCCATTCCTAATTACAGTAATGAGCTTCACATTTTTATTTCATATTTTTAGTTTTTCATAACAACAAGAAGAGATACATGTGATGTGGTTAAGAGCCACATACATGAAAAAGCTGTTCTATTTTTAAATATAATGCTCCAATTCAAAGTCTCACAAAGTGTTTTGCTCTGCTACATCTGAAACAAATGACCTAATTAAGAACCACAATTGTTGATCAGATGGCAATATTGATTATGTGTTTATATGTTGTATGACTGTAATATTTGTCCCAAGATCATCCGGTTGCAAATCAGATACATTCTCCTTATCCTGCTTGAACCACAATTCCACTCTTTCTACTAGATTGCCTTTTCAGGACCACTTATATAATTATACTTTATTATCATATTCACATTGTTAGATACACATATCCTGTTTTTGTTAGGACAATGTGACTTTATCCTTGTGAGATAGAGTTACTGGTAGCAACAATTCATGCACTGTTCTGAACAAAGATGAAATAATTTTATGGCTGCAACCCTACATGTTAATGTTACTGAATTTAAAGGAATATATTTTAGAGTATGTCTGTAAGATTAATACTTTACAACCAGGGAGCCCAGTTTTGCACATAATGAAAAACCAGAATTGTTCCTTTTTGGCAATTATACTAAATAAAACTTGAGAAATTCAACTTTGTTGTCCAAAAGGTAGAGGATGGAACTAGAGGGACAGCCATACTGGACTTAATTCTTAAAAACAGAGGAGAAGTGATAGAAGGAGTTGAAACTACAGAAACCTTGGGTGAGAGTGACCGTCTCATACTAGAATTCAACATAACACAAACACAAGCAATAGAATGTAATGACACCAGAGTCTTAGATTTTAAAAGAGCTGATTTTAATAAACTCAGAGAGAACTTGGGAAAGATTCCATGGATGAAAATCCTAAAGGGGAAAAAAACTCAAGAATCTTGGGAAACTCTGAAAAGTATGATCATAGAAATCTAGACCAGCACAATACCACGGACAAAGAAAAACAAGAAATCCAAGAAGAAACCAGTATGGCTGCACAAAGATCTCTCTGGCAAACTGAAAGAAAAAAAAGACAAGTACAAAAAATGGAAAGAAGGACATACAACTAAGGCAGAATATCAGCAAATAGCCAGAATCTACAAAGATGAAGTCAGGAAAGCAAAGACTCAGAACGAATAAGACTTGCAACAAAAGTCAAAGATAATTAAAAAAAAGTTTCTTCCAACATATAAATAACAAGAAAAAAATCAAGGAAACAATAGGTCCACTAAAGAGAGAAGACGGCAAGGAAATAACAGGCAACAGAGAGAAAGCAGAACTGCTTAACTCATTCTTTGCATCTGTCTTCACGCAAAAAGAAACGATAGCTCAACTCACCAAAAACATAACTGTAAAAGACAGACCAGAAATAAAATTTAAAAAAATAGTAAGAGAACACGTGTCTGATCTTGATGAACACAAATCACTGGGGCCTGATGGATTACATCCCAGAGTTTTAAAGGAGCTGGCAGAGGTCATCTCAGAACCACTGCACCATATGTTTCAAAAATCCTGGAGCACCAGGGAACTATCAGAGGACTGGAAAAGAGCTGATGTGGTTCCCATCTTCAAAAAAGGAAAAAAAACAGACCCAGTAATCTACAGACCAATCAGCCTAACATCAATACCTGGGAAGATACTGGGAAAGATAATAAAAAACAGATCTGCCAACATGTAGAAACAAGTAAAGTAAAAACTAGCAGTCAGCACGGGTTTGTTAAAAACAGATCATGCCAAACCAATCTTATTTCATTCTTCAACATAGTGACTAAATTAGTAGACCAGTGAAATACTGTGGACATAATATATTTAGATTTCAGCAAGGCATTCGACAAAGTAGACCACACCTACTTCTAGAAAAAAGTGGAACAGATAGCACCATCACTAGATGGATTTGCAACTGGCTGGAAAACTGTACTCGAGTAGTCCTTAATGGGTCTAACTCTGCATGGAGGAAAGTAAGCAGTGGGGTACCACAAGGTTCCATCTTAGGCCCAGTACTTTTCAATATCTTCATTAACGACTTAGATGAGGGAATAGAAGGGGAACTTACCAAATTTGCAGATGATACTAAGCTGGCAGGAATAGCTAACACCCAAGAAGATAGGCTCAAGATCCAGATGGATCTTGACAGACTCAACAGTGGGCTGTATCTAACAAAATGAAATTCAATGTAGAGAAAAGTAAAGTCCTACACTTAGGCAAGAAAAACCAAAAGTACACATATGGACTGGGTGAACCAGGCTCAATAGCAGTAACTGTGAGAGGGATCTTGGAGTCTCAGTGGACAATCAGCTAAAGATGAGCCAGCAGTGTACAGCAGCAGCCAAAAAAGCTAATGCAATTGTAAGTTGCATTAACAGAGGGATACAATCGAGATCAAGTGAGGTACTAATACTACTCTATAAAACCTTAGTAAGACCACACCTAGAGTACTACATCCAGTTTTCGTCACCACACTATAAAAAAAGATGTTGAGACTCTAGAAAAAGTACAGAGAAGAGCAACCAGGATGATTAGGGGACTGGAGACTAAAACATATGAAGAACAGTTACAGGAACTGGGCATGGCTAGTCTAGTGAAGAGAAGGACCAGGGGAGACATAATAGCAGTCTTCCAATATCTGAGGGGCTGCCACAGAGAGGAAGGGGTCACGTTATTTTCTAAAGTGCCTGTAGGCCAAACAAGGAATAATGGATGGAAACGAAACAAGGTGAGATTTAACCTGGAAATAAGGAGAAACTTTCTGACGGTGAGAACAATCAACCAATGAAACAGCTTGCCCTGGGAAGTTGTGGAAGTGCCATCACTTGAGATTTTCAAGAAGATATTGGACTGCCATTTGTCAGAAATGGTGTATGGTCTCCCGCTTGGGCAGGGGTTTGGACTAGATGACCTACAATGTCTCTTCCAACTCTGATTATCTGTTATCTGTTACTTAACAAACATGTTATTAACTAAAAAACTGCAGTGATTCACTTTTCAACTGTGGCAAGAAAGGTCATAAAAGGGGGCAAAATTAACTTCAGTTAGCACTTTTGGTTTTATCACTGCTGGCTTGCCTCAGAAAATCAGATGTAAAAAAATGTAAAAATTCATCAATAAATTGAAGAAGCTTCTTGAATGAGGAGCAAAATGTTTTCAAGGGTCAGAGTCCAGAAGCTGTTCAGAGAAAATACTTTAAAAATACTAATACTTCACAAACTGAAGAAATCAGAAATTAATAATTTTTTTAAAGTTATTTGTCAGATAAACCACTGCGAAAAAATTCAAGGCTAAATTACGTTTTTCTTTGGATTGATGTATTTAACTAGAGAGAGAGTTGTACTGGCTAAAATCAAACTAGTACCAAACAGCAGCTTATAATTATGCCATTTTATTCATATTTTTATTGCTTAGCAATTTTAACCAGGCATTTGCTCACCTAATATCTCTAGTTATCCACTTTTTGGATATGTATTATCTACATTGTCTGTGTGTGTCCGTGTGCATGCACGTATGCACATGCATGCATGTGAACTCCAATATTTGTTGTTTGTTTCTTCCTTTTACTATTTTTAATCATTTTTCCTGTTATGCAAACTTGCTCAAGAGAAGATTAATTTAATGACATTGCTTTGAAGAAACCTTTGGCATATGACATTTTTATTAGTACAAATTGCCCTGCCATTAATACTAGCCATATCAAAAAAGCTTAACTATTCTTTAGATGATAGTAATCATGTTACATGTGACACATACATGCAGAATGCTCAGTATGATTAATCTATGAAATAAATTTGCAAATAAACGTATTGAATGTTGAGGACATACCTGGCTGACAATATTCCAATAAGTTCTTTCCTATTTATCACTCGCTGCTGGTTATTTTTGTATTTGGGGTCATGAATGATTTCAGGAAAACTGAGAACCTAAATCAAATGAGTTAAAATACATTCAGGAACATAATGCCAATGAAAGTTCTAAGATTTAATGTAAATGTATGATTTATTAAACTTTTTAATAAATAAAACCACACTGTTTACAGTATGTTTATATGTATGGTTATTATAAACATCATTTCTATATTTCATTCATTTAGTTATTTCAAATATTTCTACCATGACATTTGACTCTACATTTACAAAACTATTTCTATGTGTCAAAGATGTCTAAAAATCTGTATATATCAGTATTAATTATATTTGCCACTGTGTTGATAATTTTGATTTACTATGTTTTTATTCTGGTAAGAATTTCAAGCAATATCAACTTCTTTAGCCTACAGTAGAAGTGGAACAAAAGACCATGTTTCTGAAGAAATATAAAACAGTATTGGCACATGCAGCCAATCTGCCACTTAGATATTTAGGTCAATTGCTAAATAATTAGCAGATTCTGCTTTCTTGCTTTCATAATTGTAAGAAAAAGAAATGTAAACTTTAGATTAAAAGTAATACACTAAGAGTTTCACTAGGATGACAGAATAACCCTATTAACCTGAAATCAGCCATTTTCTCCTCCAAATATTGGGATTTAGGTAGATTTCCAGGTGAACTTTTAATCCTAAATTATACAACTACAATCACTACTAGATTTTCTTGTGAAAATAATTTCTTCACACTACAATGCCTTTTAAAAAAACTGCACATGACATTGTCACTTTTTGAACTAGTAATGGCACTTAGACTTATATACTACTACCCTATAGTGCTTTATAGCACTATCCGGATGGTTTACAATGTCAGCAAACTGCCCCAAAAAATCTGGGTCCTCCTTTTACGGATCTTGGAAGGATCAAAGGCTGAGTCAACCTTGAGCTACATCAGGATTGAACGTTAGGCTTTGGGTAGAGTTTGTTTGTAATACTGCATTCCACTGCATCACCAGAGTTCCTAGTAGTTAATCACTAATTGCTAGTAAGTCAGAAAAAACAGTTTATTTAAGTCAATTATTTTGTTTTCTGAGTACTATACCTTGCAAACAGTAGCAAACTGTTGATTATTTCCTGCTCCTACTACAATATATCCATCTTTTGTTCTAAAAGCCTAGAAAACAGAAAGACAGAACACATTCATTACATTAATATTTTTTTTTATCTTCCATGAACCATCAATTACTTACATGTGCACTTTCATGTTTTTGCAGGTAATTCAATATTTACAAAATCTAATAATCTTAATATAAAGTATGAATGAAATTTTATGTCCTGGTTTATTCTTTTCTGAAATCATTACAAGCAATTCCTCCAACTATATATCAATTATTTAAATAACTTTTTTGGTTTAGCTCCTACAAACAAAAATATTAAACAACTTTATTATTTTATGCCAATAAGATTGTGCTACTTCAGTTTTAAAGATTTTCATCAGTGCTACAAATTATGCAGCTATACATATAAATATACTGAAATTTAGAGTTACTAAATGATGGTCCTGTTGAGGTAATTCCCTGTTAGGAGAATGAGTGCACACAGGGAGACGTAGTGAGAGTAATGCTGAATAACACACACACAGCAAACAGCTACACTGTATAGTAAAATGTAAGTTTTTTACTTCCAGTAAATGGTTAAGCAAACTCCAACAAGCAGTCCAAGTCATGCACGGTTATAGCAGTCAGTTTTCAGTCCAGGGATAATCCAATAACAAAGTCCAGTATCAAAAGCAATTCAGTAAAAGACTCACATCAAATCCAAGAATAACGATGATCAGTCACAGTCAATAGGGAAATGCAGGAACGGCAAAACTCTCAACAACAGGACAGAACAACCCCGGTTTCTGGCTCCATCTTATTGCCGTTTGAGGAACGACACCCAATTACAATTTTAGCATTCCCTTAAAGAGACAATATTAAAATGTCTATCCTGGTTTATATATTTTCCAACCCAACTGTTAGGTGACTTATATTCCTAACATTCTCCCCTTTGGGTAGGACAATATATACAACCTTACATTCTAAGTCCATAATCCTCACAGCAAGCCTTATGCCTTACAAAGCCTTGGGCTTTTGTAAAATGATCTGCGATGTTATTTTCTGACATACAGTATTCCAGCTTAATCATCTGACTTTGCACACATTGTCTCACATTTAAATATCTTAAATCTGTGTGTTTCGTTCTTGTCTTTACAGCAAGATTTGAAGCCATTTGTATTGCTGATTGGTTGTCTTCATAAACAACAATAGAATCTGTTACATCAATTACCATATCAATCAATAATAGCTTATAAAAAATTAAATCTGTACATAATAAAGACAAACATGAGAATTCAGCCTCCATTGTTGATAAACTTAAATGTTTCTGACAAATAGACCTCCATCCAATCAACACCTTTCCCAATAATACTATAGTACCCGATGTAGATTTACGTGTATTTATGTCTGTAGCAAAACTTGCATTGGCATATGCAGTTAGACTTAGTTCATTCTTAGGCTCCAAATACAATGCGTAATGCATTGTTCGTTTCAGATATCTTAACACACGTTTAGCAGCTTGCCAGTGCCTTTCAGTTGGCTCAGCGTTAAATCTCGCTAATTGATTAACACTGTATGCTATATCTGGCCTTGACCAATTGCTGAGATAAGATAAACTACCAATCAAGGACTGATAAATGTTCTTATCAAAAACAGGACTTTGAACATCACTGTGGCTGAACTGGCTCATCCTGGCTCATTGGTGTCTTAGCCGGCTTACAAAGTTCCATTTTAAAATTCTTTAGTAATTGGTTAATTTTATCTGCCTGTGAGATTTTTTATCCTCCCCTAGTTCTATCTATCTTTAAACCAAGATATTGTTTAATTTCTCCTAACTATTTTGTTTTAAATTTCTTTTCTAACAGTGATATTATTTTAGTAGCTTCTTGTTCAGTTTTGGTGATTAATGCTATGTCATCAGTAAACAATAGCAACAATGAAATTACACCATTACTTTCTCTTTTGAACAAACATGGATCAGCCATGGCCAGCTACAAAACCTATCTTAGTTAATTCCTTAACTATACACTGGTTCCATTCATATCCTGATTGCTTCAAGCCATAAAGACTCTTTTTTAATCTCCAGCAATCAGTTGTATTATCATTTTTGATACCTAAAGATTTCTTTAAATATATAGTGTGTTGCAATGGTGCATGGAGATATGCCATCTCTACATCTAAATGATTTATAATGTATTTCTCCCTAGCTGCCCACACTAATGCTGCCCTTAATGTAGTAACCTTCAGACTAGATGCAAACACCTCATCATCATTTTTTTTTTAATCGCTGGGGATGACTGGAGCGATCGTGCGCCCCGTCCTGCAAGCAACCTGCTGAGGACCCAACACGGAGAAGCGAAGACCTAGTGCAGAGAGGGTCCTTGCCAGCTAACCCCCCACCCAAGACCCCATCTCTGCCGAAGGGGCCTCTGTTGGTGGCTGCCTTCCTGCCAGCCAGAGGGCAAACGCCAAGCCTTGTTTGTCAAATAAAGCGTAAATAAAACTCAGCAAGCTCAGCAAAGCCCGAGGAGCGCCGGCCGGGAGGATCGCTGAGCGAGAGCGCTCCAACTGTGGCTTTTCCCTTGACTTCGAGAGTTTTCCCCTCGACTGCTGAGTGAGAATCTGACCTTTCCCAGGAGCGACCCAGCCCAGAGAATGATCATCTTTGGAGTCGGTGAGAGCCCAGAGAACGATCATCTTTGGAGTCGGTGAGATTCATCCCATCCTTGCAGGGAGGTGAGCACTGGGAGCTGTGAGACTGTCTCCAGAAGTTTGCAGCTAGGGTGTGAAGCAGACTGCCTCCTCCCTGCCGCCCCCATTTCCCTCTTCCCTCTTTTCTCCTCGCCAAATTGCTAATCCGGACTCCAGGAGTGATAGAAGCAGAGGTATATTAAAGCCAGGAGTGAATGCTCAATACAAATCTGAGTCTACACAGTAAAAATATAATCTGTTTGAATTTACCAGTGCAAGACGTGCCTCTTTCTCTTAAAAGCAACAAACTTTGAAAGTGTATTCAGTTAACTAGGAGGGGCCCAGAAATCTCATTCATCAAGGGAAAACAAAAACAAATAGTTTCCTGTGAGCTGTTCAGTCTTTCCTTCACTCGGATAAAAATCCTTGGAACATTGTGTTACAACTTCCTGTTTACAGAGTAATAGCGATCTGCTTGATTAAAGTCAGCTTGATTAAAGTCCCCCGCTATGATATGCACAGAATCAGGATATTTATTCTGCTGATTACTAACACTGTTATATAAGCTATGGTAGTATTGGCATCAGGTGGGATATAGACTGCAGTAATCAAAATCATGCTGAATTCCCGCGGAACATATATGGGTCTACATTTAAGAGTCATATACTCCAGATCCATGGAGCAGTGGCTGTCTACAGTCTTTGTATTGATACACCAGCTTTTGTTCACATAAAGGCTTAACCCCTTTGTTCTTTCCAGAATCTCTACTCCTGTCCTGCCTGTGAGCTATGTAGCCTTCCAGCCCAACAGCTGCTGAACAATCCAAAATTGTTCTCAATAAGGAAGGGATTCAATACCTCCCCAAAAAGGAGGTTCCTTTGTATGGGGCAGAGGCGAGCCTCCACTTGGTTCTAGCATCCGCCTGCCATTGGCGAAGCCATAGCAAACGGCGTGAAGTGACGTTGCAAGTGAGAGCCCTGGAGGAAAAATGGGCCACGTGCAACGATGCATCAGCCAAAAATTCAGCAGCTACCACCAGCTTGTTAATATCGTGGTGCATTCACTGCACCTGGTGAAGCCAGAGGAAGGAGGTTCTAGCGAAGAAGGAAGTGGCTGTAGCAGCCTTTACTGCCCAGGCAGCATAATACCTGATGGGTTCTGCGGAAGTTTAATTCCACCTTCTTGTCTTCTGCTTTCAGGGTTTCCACTAGGTCCCCAGAAACCGTGGTGGATGAAACCAGGGAGGCCCATGGTTCATCCACAGTAGGCAATTCTAGTGCATCTGAGAGGATGGGAGCCATAGTAAAGAATATTTTATCATTCCAGCATGGCTGCACAAAGATCTCTCTAGCAAATTGAAAGAAAAAAAAGGACAAGTACAAAAAATGTAAAGAGGGACATACAACTAAGGCAGAATATCAACAGATAGCCAGAATCTGCAAAGACAAAGTCAGGAAAGCAAAGGCTCAGAACAAACAAAGATTTGCAACAAAAGTCAAAGATAATTTTAAAAAAAATTCTCCCAACATATAAATAACAAGAAAAAAATCAAGGAACAGTCGGTCCACTAAAGAGAGAAGACGGCAAGGAAGTAACAGGCAACAGAGAGAAGGCAGAACTGATTAACTCATTCCTTGCATCGGTCTTCACACAAAAAGAAACTATAGCTCAACCCACCAAAAACATAATTGTAAAAGACAGACCAGAAATAAAAGTTTAAAAAATATTAAGAGAACACCTGTCTGATCTTGATGAACACAAATTACTGGGGCCTGATGGATTACATCCCAGAGTTTTTAAGGAGCTGGCAGAGATCATCTCAGAACCACTGCACCATATCTTTCAAAAATCCTGGAGCACCGGGGAAGGGATTAAAAAAAAGGATCAGGAAACAAAGAAATATGGGAATTGTAAAAAAATGAAAAGAAATTGTCTATTTAGAAGACACAGAAACAATGGCTGATTAAGAACTAAAAGGGGGGATTCTGCAAGGTAATGGGGGGTAGCATAAACATACTTAAAGTTATGAATATTCTAGAAAATAGGGATAGATATTAGGATGAAAAATGGAACTGATATTTTTGGTATTGGAATGTATGCTCTTTTCTCATATGTACAAAGATGAATGGAATAATTAATGGAATATGCTTACTAAATACACTGAAATAACTGAAACGGAATATGAGGAGGGCTGTAATGGACTTGAGATTCTCTAGTATTGGAATGAAGAAGCAACAATGGTAATTGTATTACAATATTGTAATTATTTATGGACTTTAACAGCACTTCTAAATATTAAAAGTATTCCACCATCCCCCATATTCAGAACTATTAATTGAAAGTATGAAACTAAATAATGTTTTTTTCCATTATCCTTTTATTGGGT